AGAACAAATAATTTGAAAAAAATCAAATCAGCTGCTATACTGATATTACCTGTTCAATGTGCCTTGGTTTAATTGTATTTTTGGAATACACAAAGTTCTTTATCCTTCTGTCAGTAAACTACAAATAGTATAAATAAGCAATGGGAAATAAGGCAAAATTTGTTTTATTTCCAACCTTTGTTGGAAATAAAGCAAAACTCAGATTTTGATATTATTTCCCATTTAAAAGTGAAATAAAGCAAATTTTGCGTTATTGCCGTTTGTCTTATTTATGAACTGATTTCTAGGAAGATGCAAGATCGCATGATCGTGCATGAGGGCGTCAGACAAACTTAACCCCATCCTTCATTTAGATATCTGAAAAAACCTTGGAGAAATTCACAGTTCTCAAGTTGATGTCCAACATCATTCTCCAACTCAACTCTAACCCACGTGCAAATACGTAAAAATTGATAGAGATACGAATTTTTTATTTATCAAGTGAAAAACTAAAGCTATATAAAGGGGAACACTACCAACGAAAAGTAAATAATCCTCAAATATTCTTGAAAGAAAATAATGCAGCGTTTTTGCTGCATTTAAAATGCAACATTTAGCACTTTCGAACATATGTTTTCGAAGAGCGTTCATGCTATCGCATTTAGCAAATGTACATTTACGCGAGTTCGAAATCGTATGCTTTTGACAAACAGCCGTGTTCCAGTCGCTTATTCAGATCCGTATCCATTACGATAAATTCTCACGGAAAAGATAATGTGCAAAAACCCCTACTGAAAAGGAAAAATAAATTCTAAACCGAAAATTCAATACAAAAACCTGAATTGTTTTAACCATAACCGAACATTTGTTTGTGTATATATTCATTTGTCGGTGCTGCCAATTATATTTTCCACACCTAATTAGGAAACAAAACAAACAGAGTTGATCACAAATTAATCCAGATTTCTATCAGCATCATATCGATGTTGAATTTGCGTAACTTTTCTTTATCCAAATAATGTAAAATAATAAATGAAATCTCGATCGGCGATCACTGAAACGCAGCTAGCGGTTGTATACTCGAAAAAGCAATGTTGCCACTTTTTCTCATTAAACCATGTTCGAATCGTGGAAATTTTGGAAGATCACAGGGATGCTTTTAGCATTTAGATTCTAAATGCAAAGATTGAGTTGCATTTAGTTGCATTTAGATGACGAATTTTGTATGGATAAATGTACATTTAGAGTAGCATTTAGAGCTAAATGCGCTAAATGTACATTTACGCGTAAGCAAAAACAGCCCATAAAACGCGAAGTGAATCAAGTGGAAAAATTACTGTCGGACTGTATACTGTGAAGTGAATTATTGTAATAAGATATTGATTAACTACATAATACAAAAGGAGTAATAAAATGAAAAATTAATATTATGTCGTTTCAATCAAAAAGGAATAAGATATTTTACTATTTCAATCTCAGTATTTCAATGATATGTTTGAGACCAATTGGAGAATTACGTTAGAGCTCAAGTTGAGAACTAGCATTTTCTCAACTTGAGACACAGTCCTTTTTCATACAAAGTAAAATGCCCTTTTTGATGGGAACTCTATGATCGTCCACTAGAGGTACTGTTGAGAAACAACATTGGAGATTTGAGAAATACTTTAGTTCTCACCTTATAGGCTGTTTTGCTTACGCGTTAAAGCACATTTAGCGCATTTAGCTCTAAATGCTACTCTAAATGTACATTTATCTATACAAAATTCGTCACCTAAATGCAACTCCATTTTTGCATTAAGAATCTAAACACTTAAAGCAACCCTGTGATCGTCCTAAATTTCCACGATGCGAACATTGTTAAATGAGGAAAAGTGGCAACATTGCTCTTTCGCGTATACAGTGGCTAGCTGCGTTTCAGTGATCGCCGATGCAGATTTCATTTATTATTTTACATTATTTGGATAAAGAAAAGTTACGCAAATTCAACGTCGATGTGATGCTGATAGAAATCTGGATGAATTTGTGATCAACCCTGTTTTTTTGTTTCCTAATCAAGTGAGGGAATTTTAATTGGCAACACCGACAAATGAATATATACACAAACAAATGTTCGGTTATGATTAAAACAATTCAAGCTTTGTATTGAATTTTTGGTTTAAAATTAATTTTTTTTCTTTTCAGTAGGATCAGATGGATCGTAATAGATACGGATCTGAATAAGCTACTGGAACACGGCTGTTTGTCAAAAGCATACGATTTTGAACTTGCTTATTCAGATACGTATCTATTACGAATGAAAAGGAAAAAATTAATTTTAAACCAAAAATTCAATACAAAAACTTGAATTGTTTTAACTATAACCGAACATTTGTTTGTGTATATATTCATTTGTCGGTGCTGTCATTTAAAATTTTCTCACTTAATTATGAAACAAAACAGACAGAGTTGATCATAAATTGATCCAGACTTCTATCAGCATCACATCGATGTTGAATTTGCATAACGATACGATTTCGAACTCGCGTAAATGTACATTTGCTAAATCCCAATAAACACCAAAAAATATTTCGCTAAACATTTTGGTTTGAGCTAAACATGAGGTTAATACAGCGTTTTTTCTGCATTTAAAATGCTACATTTAGCACTTTGGAACATATGTTTTCGAAGAGCGTTCATGCTATCGCATTTAAGCTGAAATTAGTCAAGAACGTAAACCTACCGGTACGTAAACCCGAGTCAGCTGACACGATCTGTCTTACCAAAGCGCCATGTAAATGAAAACTCAACACCGCAGAATTTTTCTGTAGTTGTAGCCCGTAGCGCAGAAACCTGCGGAATTTAGATTTTTCCGTGTCAGCTGATTTCTCCTTCTTTAGATGGTTGCCACTTCGTCAGTTTTGCAGATGGTAAAAAAGTTATAAGTTCTTATTCAAAATATGTTTAAAATATGTGAAATTTACTATTGAATAAGGTTTTTGTTGAAAACTAAGTAGTTTATATTTAGCTACAATCTATTATTGCACGAAAAATTGTGGTTGAAAGGGTAAGTTTATGAAAAGGTATTGAAGAGTGGCAACAGTGTAGTAAGCAACACTGAGGGCTCCAGTAATCGACAAAATTCTGCGTATGCAGACTGCGTTTAAGTATACGTTCTGCGTTCTCGACTAATTTCAGCTTTAGCAAATGTACATTTACGAGAGTTCGAAATCGTATGCTTTTGACAAACAGCCGTGTTCCAGTCGCTTATTCAGATCCGTATCTATTACGATCAATTCTCACGCAGAAGTTAATGTACAAAAAACCCTACTGAAAAGAAAAAAAATTAATTTTAAACAAAAAATTCAATACAAATCTTGAATTGTTTTAACATTAACCGAACATTTGTTTGTGTATATATTCATTTGTCGGTGCTGTCAATTAAAATGTCCTCACTTAATTAGGAAACAAAACAAACAGAGTTGATCACAAATTCATCCAGATTTCTATCGGCATTACATCGATGTTGAATTTGCGTAGCTTTTCTTTATCCAAATACTGTAAAATAATAAATGAAATCTCGATCGGCGATCACTGAAACGCAGCTAGCCACTGTATACGCGAAAAAGCAATGTTGCCACTTTTTCTCATTAAACCATGTTCGAATCGTGGAAATTTTGGAAGATCACAGAGCTGCTTTTAGCAATTTGATTCTTAATGCAAAAATGGAGTTGCATTTAGGTGAGTAATTTCTTATGAATAAATGTACATTTAGAGTGGCATTCAGAGCCCTGTATGCAGCTCTCAAGAAAACAGCCAAGAAAAAATTACCATTATTTCGTGTGTGTGTCCAAGGAATTTTGACATATTTGATACTTCACAGCCTGTTGCCTCTTTCTTTCCTCAAGAGATAATGGAACGGGCATATATTTCTGTTGCAACCCTGGGTTGCCTTGTGCTGTTTTTTCACAAAAAACTTTAGAAAACCGTACTAGAAAGCGTAGAAAATTCCTTAAGAACTGCTTACTGCCTTAAGGAAATTTTACTCAAGAAAATTTCTTATACCATGTTCTGACCGACGTCGATAACATGTTTTCGGTGTTAAAACTGGTTTTCGACTTAAAACTTGTGTTTTCGCCATATAAAATCTGTCAAACGAAAATCAGTTTTCGCTGAAAACTACTTGAAAACTCACGTTCCACTCATTCCAATCGGTGTCTTCACTAGTTTTTTTCGATTATTTGTCGAAGTGAAAGTCATATTTTATCATCTTTAATACGCCATTTCGGATTTATTGTTAATTGGCTGGCAAAAGTAAAATAAGAATGAAAGTAAGTGGTTGCTAATGAATAGAAAATGAGGGAAGAGCGTTTCAGTTTTGTTTTTATGTAGCAAAACTGTAATCAGAGGATGTAAGAAATGTCAATGAAAACACTAACAGCCGGTGTGAACAGCCTTCAGCCCACAATCCCAAAACACGTTTTCAAAGTGTTTTCGTTGTCGGTCAGAATATGGTATTAGACATTTCTTGTACGTCATTTTATATGGAGTTTTTGCTTTACTTGCGAGCTGCATACATGCCTTAAGCAAAAACAGCCCATTACTGCAAAGTTCTGAACACATAGAAAACGATGAGCTACGGACCACGGCTTCCAATTTGTCATCTTCATTATCTAAACGCTTTGTCGATGGCGACATGATTTCTTTGAAAGCGGCAGCGACATCATGAATTTTGGGTTTGACATAAAAGAAGAGGAAGAACCTTATCTGTCGCCAGTAAAATGGAAATAGATCTAATCTGGCCACAACCACAGCGGTCGCGTAGGCCGGTCGTCGTCAAAATAATTATCTACATAAGAGTACGTGTTAAAATAATTTGGTTTGTAGCTCGTCGTTTTCATTGTGTTCGGGCTAAAATTGTGCAAAGCAAATGCAGTTTAAAATAAATTCGCCTTCTGGCAACGCTAGGTGGCGCTGATTCACCAACAGGGCTGGTGAGTACCCTACTCGTTGGTTCTACGAACGAGCCCAAAGAAGAAACAAATTTGACAGTTGCTGGAAATATGGCGTGAAATAAACAACAGATGTGTTTCGGTAGCGGATAATTTGCGCGATGTGTAAAATCTAGCGAATATCTTACCAAAAAATTAAAGCGCTATTAGCTGAAATATTAAATAGTGATTATCAAAAAGTGTGTATCAAACGCAGAACAAATAGATTAGGTGGACGCGGATTGTGCCAAACTTAAAAGCAGTGCAAGTGAATGTTTACTAAATTTTTGATATAGTGGAAATCAGAAAGAAGCCGATAAAAAGCTTCAAAGGTGCATTGTGCAATAGGAGAAATGTAAATAAAACTTTGTGTATTTGGCGCAACGATTTTTGTGAACCGAAAAGGTAAAGGCAAATTGTTATGGAATAGTTCAGGGCAGCCCAAAGCAAAAAGCGCAAAAAAACTGAGAAAAGAATGCAAACGGTTTAATTAGACGATGTAAATTGGAAAATTGACAGCGGGGAAGCTGAGGTATTTTATGTTAAAATATGAACTACGCTTCCCCAAGTAGTAATTTGGGCGTAAAATGTGTTTGTGTGCGGTGGCCCATTCTATTCCTAACTTCTGTCTCAGGATATTAGCCTTGCTGGCTAATATACATACATATCGTCGCCTGGGTTAAAGATTGTCGTATCCCAGTAGAAATCTTAAACATGCAACATCGCTGCTGGTGGCATGAGCTTGCTGCTGTGTATACATTCCAGTATAAATGAACCTTAATTTCCATTTAACACGCGTGGTTTCTCAGAGCGTATGCGTACTCTAACCATACACTTGTACTACTGCTGTATGCATATGGCTGTATTAATCTTTCAAACAGACAAAAATGCATTAATGGAACAGTATTAAAGCATTCTTACAAGATATGTATCCCTATATGTAACTGCTACTTTTCTGATACATTTTAATTTACGGGGATATACAAACAAGTAGCACTTACATATGCAAATGCACATCTTGTAAAAGCCCGTTTGTGCTGAAAATAGTATCGCACAACACGTCCATTCACTAAAATTTGTGTACAAGACTGAAAATATTACAAAAATTCCACTTCAAATTTATCAAGAAATGTACTTAAAACAACGTCAACGTATATTCGCATGCAATTCGCTAGAATTTGAATTTATTCGTGGAAATTCATGACTACGCATGAATTGTTCACACTAATTTACTCATATAGCAAGCATCCTTCAAGAATGCATACAACCGATTTACGTCCATCTTTTACCGTGACGATATGTGCGGTGATCAAGCCAAATACGGCACAAAAACTCTTGCTTGTATTTTCTACAAAACCTAAAAATTTCAACCTCTTTGTGATTAAAGTGACATGACAATGACATGCAGACTACTAATCACTGTTTCTAATCATCGGTGCCCAGTTATTTATTTTTTAACTTCCTTTTATAAGCTCGGGATGTAACTATGTAATATTGATGCGCCTAAAAGATACAGCGATTTCTGTTCTCAAGTTACATGCAATGGCTATTATAATAGGGAGGTTTTAGTTTTTTAAACTATAATTATGGCTATTATAATAGGGAGGTTTTAGTTTTTTAAACTATAATTTTATTATTTTTATCTTAGTGCTTGTCAATAAGATGACGGCAGTCGCTGTGGTCGAGTGGTTAGAGGTGCGTACTACCATTCGGTAGATTTATGGTTTGACCCCTGGCCCGAGATTGGGGTGTTCCCAAACAATTATATAGGTACATCTTTTCCTATTGCTGTCACAAAAGGGTTCTCATTAAATCCACGTGCCCTTTAGAGGCGGCATAAAATTGTACTACCCTCCCCTTCTTTAGACAACATAAAGGCACATACTACAAAATCCGGAAAAAATTGGGTAAGCCATAGCAAATGTGTAGGCGCCAAATATTTATTTTTAAGGAAACTTTCCTATATGTGCGATGGTTAAAGGGATGTTGGGCGGAGGAGGAGAGGGCGTGGCAGGTCCCATGTCCGATTTTAGAGAGAGCATAAATCGCCATTTGCAAAATGCAACCCCGACTGCATAGGTCCTGTTCATACAATATGTTGATGGGTGCATTCATACAAAATATTGATGGTGCGTTCATACTTTCCGCCTAATATTCAATACTGCCCAGACAGTGACATTTATAGACTAACAATATTATAACAGGTCCCAGTATGGGTCCCTAGGGAACCCCTTATAAAAATTTACAAAAATCACATTTTGTTCTTGCGTTTTCGCTTGTTTGAAGTAGATGAAAGCACTGACGAGAGCCTTTGTGCGTACGTGGGGCAACATGCCCCATTCAGTAAATGTCTTAAAAAGTATTAGAGATTTGTTAAAGTGATATACATACATATAGTTGCGGGTAAAATAATAGCAACATTCAAAATGATGCTGTTGGTAACTTATGTTTATTATTTATTGTAAATAATTTCCATTTAAAATATGGATCGACCAATATCATAAACCGCATAAACAAAAGTTTCAAAGCTTGCAAAAAGTCCACAAAAACTAATCTAACCTAAAAAAATGTTCATCAAAATTTCGGCCTTTAATTAGATTTATCTACTAGCAACAATAAAGACCAAGTATCATTCCCACGACAGCCGGTTCTACGTACCGGAATGACTCGGGTTTTACCCGACCAAGGGCTGTTGTTTCGGCGTTCAAACCCCGTTTAGGTCGGCGAAGTATCTCAGAAGTTGTCCGTCCATAGGGCTACATTCACTACGTATTCTTCTACTCAGGGCTGGCATCGAGTCAAACCCAGGGCCAGACACCTACACCTGTTGTGTATGCCGGAGACGATTACACCACAACTCCACCTCAGTCAAGTGTAATGCCTGCGAGGGGTGGAGTCACCTCAGAGTCTGCTCGGGACTACGGTCACATCGACAGTGGACCACGTCGTACGTGGCCCCCTGTTGCTCAAACAGAGCAGCCTCCACGGCTAACCTCAGTCCGCCCGAGCACACACGACACGTCTCCCGGAGCGAGACACAACACTTGCACAACTTCGCTCCGGCTACTGCAGCAGGTTAAACTCCTACCTGAGTAGGTTGAATGAGGATGTGCCGAATGAGTGTCCGGCATGCGGAGAGACCCCACATGACTCGAAACATCTCTTCGCATGCCCGGAAAACCCGACAACCCTAACGGCCTTGTCCCTGTGGACAAACCCCACAGAAGCTGCACGCTTGTTGTTGTTGTTGTAGCGGCTACAACAACCCCGCCCAGATCGGTTGGTATCTCAGTCGTTGTCGTCAAGTTCCACTAACGGCAACCCTAGGAAGCGTGCAGCTTCTGCGGGGTTTTCCCATAAGGACAAGGCCGTTAGGGATGTCGGGTTTGCCGGGCATGCGAAGAGATGTTTCGAGTCATGTGGGGTCTCTCCGCATGCCGGACACTCATTAGGCACATCCTCACTCAGCCTACTCAGGTAGGAGTTTAACCTGCTGCAGTAGCCGGAGCGAAGTTGTGCAAGTGTGGTGCGCGTCTCCCGAGGCAGATGAAGCTCCGTCTCGTCAATGTCCGGGGGTGGTGTGCCTAGAACGGCATTCACAGGTCTAGAGTCAACATAACTCGAGACTGAGTCCCTGTGAATGCCGTTCAAGGCCTGTCTGTAGGCTGTCGGGTCCAGAGGTTGCTTAATGAACCTCTGGACTTCGTCCGTTAGTTCATATAGATGCCTCCTGACGTGCCTAGGCGAGGGCTCCTCGGCAAGCAGCTGTCTGCACGGGTGGCCACTTCTGTGGGTCCCGATCAGGAACTGCTTGCAGAGCATTATATTGTGCTCCTTTACCGGGAGCATTTGCGCCTCGCCGTGCAGGTGGTGTTCAGGCGTCATCAGGAGGCATCCCGTCGCTGTCCTCAGTGCGGTGTTTTGTGCGGTCTGTAGCTTCGTCCACTGCGTCCTACTAGTCCCAGGCGACCACACTGGCGCTGCGTTGTTCAAAACCGGCCGGCCTATTGCCTTGTATGTTGCCAGCAACGTTTCTTTGTCTTTGCCCCAAGTACTGCCGGCTAGCGACTTGAGGACCTTGTTGCGGCTCTGTACTTTATTGACAATAGCGGTTGAGTGCGCAGAGAAGGAGAGCAGGCTGTCGAAAGTTACTCCGAGTATTTTGGGGTTATTCACCGTCGGAATTGGTGTGTCATCGACGTGAATCCCCAGCGGTAGCCTGACCTCCTTCGTCCAGGTTGTGAACAGGGTCGCGGAGGATTTCGTAGGGGAGAGGGCTAGACACTTTGCAGTGAAGAAGCGAGAAAGTTCGGAGAGATAGCCGTTTACTTTCGAACACAGGTCATCAATTCCATTCCCAGTCGCCATAATCGAGCAATCGTCGGCATAGGAGACAATCGAGACTCCCTCTGGTGGTTGAGGGAGCTTTGAAATATAAAAGTTAAACAGTAGCGGGGAAAGGACACCACCCTGAGGAACCCCCTATTTTATTTTTCGCTGCTTACTCGTTTTGTCTCTGAACATTACCGACGAATGTCGACCACTTAGATAATTTGCCGACCACCGTTTGAGCCTCTGTGGGAGAGAGGAGGCCTCTATATCTTCTAGTAGCGTGGAATGGCAGACGGTGTCAAACGCCTTTGACAAGTCCAACGCTACTAGAATCGTTCTCTCACAGGGACGGTTACGGTTAAGGCCACGAGTTATCTGAGTGTTTATGGCGTTAAGTGCTGTTGTTGTGCTGTGCACTTTACGGAAACCATGCTGATGCTTCGCTGGGGTCAGGTGATTTGTGAAGTACGGGAGTAGCAAGGCCTCGAGTGTCTTCGCTACCGGGGAAAGGAGTGTAATCGGACGATACGAATCTCCTTTGTTTGCAGGTTTCCCCGGTTTGAGCAGTGGGACCACTCTCCCCACCTTCCAGATGTCTGGGATGATGAGAGTGGCCATTGACAAATTGAGGACCTCCGTTAGGTACGCTACCCCCGCAGGACCCAAATTTTTCAGCATCAGCATGCATATACCGTCGGGACCCATGGCTTTGGAGGCTTTCGCCTTCCCGATGGCCACCTGAACTTCACCGCAAGTGAAAGCAAGGGGGCACAATTTGTTGGCAGTTTGTGCAGCCTTCTGGTCACTCGTCGCTTGGCTTTGTCCACCGGAGGATGCAGTATGAACTGCCGGCTAAAATAGCTCGCGCATCGCTCCGGGTCCGACGAAGCATGGTCGCCGAAGGAAATTTCGACTCTGTCGTCGTGCTTCGTCGGATTAGACAATGACCTCACGGTTGACCAAAGCTTGCTCACACCAGAGGTGAAGTTGCAAGTCTTCAGATGCTCCTCCCACTTCTTCCGCTTATGTACGTTTACAAGTTGCCGAATCTCCGCGTTGAGATCCCTGATACG